ATGAGAGTTCTGAAAGTTGTTTCCCGTATTTTAATGCTACAATTTCCAAAGTTATCAGAAAGCTGCATTTAAGAATCCTTGCTAGAGTTCTATAGTGGATTATAAACCACCTTCTAAAGAAAATTAAAACAAGACAACAATTTTCTGTGGATAATAAAGTTTTAGGGCAGCCACTAGTAAAGCCACAATTGATAAGGAAATTTGTTACCTCTGTGGTATACAATTATTTATGTAACAATTATAATTATTAATAACATACATTAAGTCATATTAGAATTATAGGGGTTTCCCATAACTTTGGAACATATACCAATAACATATTTATGCAAATTTAGTCCAAAGAAAGCAAAACACTTTTTCACATTTGATAATGCTTCCTGTATGAATATAAAATAAAAACATTTTTATAAAATAAAAATATAAAATAAAAACATCCCTCCTTTTAAACAACCAGTCATTTTACTTTAGGACAAGAATTTATCATACAAGATCCTTTTGCATATAAAATAACTTTCTTTATAATCTTCTTTGTATAGCTAGAGGGCATGGCTAATTCCACATGTCCTGAGACCTCATCTAGAATCTAATGGCTTTGAGGTAGGTAAATTGAACAATTATTAAATGTTAAAGAAGCAGTTTATGACTTTAAAGCATTTAACAAACTTAATATCTGACCTGCATAATTTAGACTAAATGTTTTTATTTTATCAGTAATTTTTAAAACTGCTTTTATTTCCCAAAGGTTACTAAAGTTACATAAACTAAAAGGCATTACACTTTTTATTTTGCTTTTAAAATATTTGATTTAAATGCTTATTGTTAAGCCAATTAATTAGAGCTCTTTTATATAAATGTTACACGCAACACATATATAGCTACACAGAAAGACAGAAGATGATTACTGCAGTAGTTGTAAGATTTTTCATTTGCCAGTTTTTAAGTTTCTTAATTGGATTACTGGCTTTAGGGTGGAGCCCTTGGAAGAACAGGGCCAGGAAAGGGGTCTCTGGTGCCTCCCAAGGAGTCCCAAGGAGTTTTTCCCAAGGAGTCCTGTCCTGGCTATTAGAGCTTGAACATCTGCTTTTAGCATGTTTTAATAAAGTCCTTTTAGTATTTCTTATGCCAAACGGCCGATATTTCTGGCTTTTGAACTTTACTAAAGTTAACCTCTCAGGCGCTTAGAGAAAGGAAAATTTAAGACAGTCTGTGGAGAAGAAGATAATTGACAAAGTTACGCAACACTAAACCAGAAACGACTTACTTCCTAGGTGAGGAATATGAACTCGGACCACCACTGCGAAAGTCCCATACCTTGGCTAGTGAGCTACAGCCCGCAGCAGTCTTCAGCTTCTTTCCCAGAAGGAGTCTAGAGTAGTTAATTTTGAGCTTGCAAAGGCTTTTAACTATTCAGTATGAGTTTTAGAACTAACTATGACATGAACCCTAAAATTCCTGTTCCCTGAAGGCAGAGACCGAAAGAAAGTACGGCCACGTGGTTAAAAGGTCAAGCTCCCAAGGATGTAAAACGATGTGGATACTTAATCCGTTTTTGTTTGTTTGTTTGTTTCAGGGACCTGCAGCCAAAGTAGTTACTGACCAGCTTGCTGGGTCGTCTTGAAAAGCGGGCTTACAAGTGTTCTAAGCCCATGTTTTACGCTGAAGTACCCCTCAACACAGAAAAATGAATTCATAGAACAAAATACACCAGCTTAAGACTAGTCTTAGAACTAATTCTTTTTCGCATTAATCAAAACTTTACAGAGGAGATAAACACTGATTTTTTTTTTCAATTCATTCGATCGTTTACAGAGAGAGAGATAAGCCAGAAATCTGACTGGTAAGAAATTCTTACACTTTTGTCAGCATGACAGGCTTTTGGGTTCTCTTTCCTTGAGCAGCCCTAGTGATCTGGTTTGCAGCACCATCACCCTGGGGGCCAAGCTGCATCATAAAGGAAAATTATTTTTTTTGTTGTTCTGGCTGGAGCAAACTACGTGTGATAAAACATAGACATTAGCCACTCTGCTTAGCACCCAATATCAAACTAGCAAGGCTTAAATTTGCCCCCAGATGGGCCCTGTCATCTTTAATCCAACCTCCGACTTAGAGTTTCAACACATGGTCTCTGGGCAAGAGGGTCGCCCTGAATAATAGAAAAGATAAGAAAGGGGGCTGGGCGCGGTGGCTCATGCCAGTAATCCCAGCACGTTGGGAGGCTGAGGTGAGCAGATGACAAGGTCAAGAGATGGAGACTGTCTGGCCAACATGGTGAAACCTCCGTCTTTACTAAAAAACAAACAAACAAACAAAAACTTAGCTGGGCGTGGTGGCACACATCTGTAGTCCCAGCTACTAGGGAGGCTGAGGCAGGAGAATCACTTGAACCTGGGAGGTGGAGGTTGCAGTGAGCCAAGATCACGCCACTGTACTCCAGCCTGGCAACAGAGCAAGACTTTGTCAAATAAATAAATTAACTAATAAACAAATTAATAAAATAAAAATAAGAAAGAGAAACAAAAAGTAGAGAAGGAAAGTATTGCCTGTGGCCGGGTGGGGAAAGCAAAATGATCAGGGAGGCCAGAGAAAGACCCACCCATTGCAGCGACATTGAAAAGTTCAGGCGGCTACTGTCGTCTGGCAGGGATCTTTTTCAAGCAGTCCCATCAGCTCTCAAGTTTCCCCTTTTGGAGGAGGAAAATGCTCCCCATGTCCCTCGATCCTGCACGTGCCTAATCCTGTCACCCACAGCCATCAGCAAAGAGTGCAAGCCAGATTAATTCAAAGAGAATAGCAGTTAACATCCCATAGTGCCGAACCTGTTCTTAGCTGAGAGGGACTTTACCGAGAGGGGCCTCTAACCCCCTAAATCTTAGAAGGGACTCTAACACTCCTAAGTTGGGCCTGTAACCCAAGGTCAGTCAAGTGTCCTTGCCTTTTATGAAGAGGGGCCTCTAATCTACTCTCTCTTAGGAGAGACTTTAACTCCCCTAAGTTGGGCCTCTAACCCAATCCCATCCTTTAGCCTGATACCCTGCTACTTACCCAAAGTCGTCCAATCAGTGCTGCAGTCTATTTCCTTTGGGTTGGGGAGGTTTCTTCAGTATTGTCCTGTTGTGGTTCACGAGAAAGATGTTACCAGACCCCACCACTTACCCAAAGTTAGCCTTTTGGTTGGGGGTGTCTGCAGTATAATCACTTCCGTGGTCGCCAGAGAGATGTTACAGGACCCCAACACTTACCCAAAGGTAGCCGTTGGGTCAGGGTTTCTGCACTATAGTCCCTTCTGTGGTCGCCAGAAATATGTTACAGGAAAGGGATCTTGACCTCATGTCCCAAGAGAGGGTTCTTGGATCTCACTCAAGAAAGAATTCAGGGTGAGTCTGCAGTGCAAAGTGAAAGCAAGTTTATTAAGAAAGTAAAGGAATAAAATAATGGCTACTCCACAGACAGAGCAGCTGCACTTGTCTGATTAGTGGTTGTAGTCATGTATATATGTTTCTGCTGTTTCTGCACTTGTCTGATTCTGCCTAAAAACTTTCTCTTTATTTTAGAAGATCAGTTTATCAATTTCTCCGAAAAGAACACCCTCTGGGATTTTGATTGGAATTGCTTTGAATCTATAGCTCAGTTTGGGGAAACTGTATCTTAAGCATATTGACTCTTTTGATTCACGAACAAGATATATCTCTTAATTTTATTTCAGTCTTAAATTTTCTCTCAGCCATCTTTTGTACTTTTCAATGTGTTATAGGTCTTGAAATTCCTTATTCAGATTCTTCCCTTTGCAGTTAATATTCTTCAATACTATAATACATACCATTAAAAATGCCAATCCAAGTTTGTATTGATGATACACAGAAATACAATTAAATTTTTATATCGATTTTTAATTCTGCAACTCACTTATTGTTTCTAGTAACTGTTTTATAGAGTCTATCAGATTTTCTACGTGAAAGATTATGTTATCTATGAATCATACAGTTTTACTTCTTCCTTTTCAATCTGAATGCCTTTTATTTCATTTCTTGTCTCATTGCACTAACTAGATTCACCAGGACAGTGCTGAAGAGAAGTGAGTAGGACTGATATCCTGGCCCTTTTCCTTATCCGTGTGTGTGTGTGTATTTTATATATATATAAAATTGTGTGAAAAATTGATTCCCACAATTATGAAGGCTGAGTCCCACAGTCTGCCATTTACAAGCAAGAAGGAGACCAGAAACCAGTGATGTACTTCAATCCAGATCCAAAGGCCTGAGAACTAGGGAAGCAGATGGTGTAAATCCCAGTTTGAGGGCAGGAGATGTGGACTGAACATAAATATATGTGGGTAAACATGTATGTTTGTACGTGTGTGTGTACGCTATGTGTATATCCTAAATGCAGTTCTGATAGTTTCTATTTTATTTTATTGTGTTTCTTTAAAATGCTGTTCTTGCTCATTACATTAAAGATGTAAATTACATTTCATCAACAACTATGTATTTTGTGGTAACCCTAGTGGCCCATATCAAATATGTCCTTTTTGACTAAAATACAATGCATCTTTAAAGGTTCACATTAAACTTCAGATAACAGTGTTTGTTTTTCAAAAGGCAAGAGTTAATTAATACAAATTAGACCTCAGGAAAAAGGATCAACAGGTACAGGTGCCCTCTTGGTCATTTGCCATCCTGTGTAAGGCTGTTCTTGGGCTGGGGCTGGGGCGCAGTTAAATGTCATGTATTTATGATCCCTCTTCCCTCTATTTATGAGGGAAGTATGAGAGTTGTATTAGGTATGATAGTTAATTTGACCTCGAGCCTCAAGGACCCTTACTTGAGACGTCAAAAAGTTTAGGAAGGAAAAGTAAAAGAGCTGTGCAAGCCCCTTTCAATACTCAAGAAATCTTGTGGCTCCCAGTCAACAGAGGCAGGAAAGCCTCAGTCTACGTAACACAAGCTGCATCCGTATGCATGTCCGTTGCTGGGTGTGTCCATTATTGCGCAAGTGCCTTGCTGTCTGCTGTCTGCGCTCAGAGCTGTGCCCTGAGAGGTGGTCCTCCTGTCCTCTTCATTCTTTCTCACTGACTGGGACTCAGCTGGTAGGTCCGCAGATCAGTCCTCCTGGGAATTTAGTTGTGAGTGAATGTGAGGGGGCGCCAGCGGGCTTTGGACAGGTCCTGCGGCACAGAAGCCACAGTCCGTGGCTTCTGAGGGAAAAGGGCCTCGCGGTCGACGTCCGGCTCCTCCCAGGTCGCTACGCCGCATGGGCCTTTGTCGTCGTGGCTGGGCTAGGAAGAGGGAGGAACGTGGGCCGAAGAGGGGAGGAATCACGTGAAGATGGGGCGAGTGCTGGGCGTGCTGATGGAGGAATCTGAGTGCCGAAACGCCTGGAACTCTCAGAGGGAGGGCAGATTCCCCAGTTCTCACCTGGGCAGTGGCCTGGCGAAGTGGGCAGTAAGGAAGGGGCCTGGAAACTAGGAACACTGCCGCCTGATAACCGCGGCCCCGAGGTCTGCAGAGTGCCCCACGGCGGTAGAGAGTGAGGAGCACGCCCTTCACTCTGCTTCGCAACTTCACACCTCCGCCAATGACATCTCGGGAAGGAATGGGAGAGGCTGTGCGTTCCAACTTAACTTGATTTTAGGGGGGAAATGGGCCTAGTAAATGAGAGTGGGGCAAAAGGTAGTCATTCCGGTTCCAATTCTCCACCTGTATTTTCCTAGATGTCTTCATGATGGAGAGTCTAATTGTAAAACCAAAACTCACAGAAAGGTCCTCTGTCTTGCCGTGAGCCTTGCCTGCTACCAGAGCCATAACATTAATGACTTCGCAAGCAGCCATATTTGGCTAAATTAGATGATACCTGAAAATTTTTGAAAATATCTTAAAATTAAGTCCCAGGGTAATTGTGAGCTTGCATGCTTTCCAGTTTAGCCATGGAAGTGGTCAAATGATACACTCTTACGTACATTTTCTGAATCACAGTATGCCACTTTCAGAGTGAAACATGAGTGGACATCAAAGAACAAGATCCAGATCTAGAGAAAGAAGAGATGATCAAGACTCTAATCATCCAATAGGGGCTGTGGTTGTGAGTATTTTAACATTTGATATTTTCTATTAGAAACTTATTTTTGTGAAAATGTTGTTGAACTAATATTGATATATTAATAAGGTTTTCCATGCTTATAAATGGTAATAATTGAATCTCGTGAAGTAAACATAGATTTGGATGTTTGCATTCTAATGTTACCTGGATGGTTATGTTTTTATATTCCCCAGAAATATTCTCTATGGCTTCCTTCTCCTGCTTATTCATAACACATTGTATACATCCATTCCAGCGTGGATTAAAATAGCTTCCCAAGTTTTTAAGGGTAACTCTTTTCTTGTAGTAACTATTAAGAATAAGTATATAGAATTGTGTAGGATAAAAAAATGTCTTTAGGCTTATTTATGGTAAGATATATTTGTATACTGAGTATATGTATGTTATTAACATGCATTATTAATAACAGAGCTTTTTATTTGCACATGCACTGATATTCCTAGGCCCAGGAGCCACCCAGTGATGACCAACTTCAACAACAGGAACCACCAATTGAAAGTCAGGATTATACACCTGGTCAAGAGAGAGACGAGGGAGCACTGGAGTTCCAAGGTGAAGGGTGGGAAAGAAAGAATGCCTATGAATGGAGGAGGTGTATGTATATATCATGTATTATGATATGGAAGTAAAAGGAGGGAAAAAAGCAATAGAAAGAGATCTCAAACATTGCCTGAAAATTGGCTGGAAAAGTGAAGAAGGCATAGTTTGCAGCCGGGGGCAGTCCCTTAGTATAATGCATTCGACCTCCAAGACTTACTTGTTATGCTTGCCAGAGCGCTTCATTAGCAAATCCAGGGAAACTATGTTTAATTTTAGTCAGAATTGTATACTATTTCACTAGTTAAATTTGATCTTAGAATATTGTCTGTCCTTTTTAGTAATTATATTAAAAGTTTAAGCAACTTGTAATAGCATGTGTAGAGTGTTAAGGCATTATATATATATACTATAGATCACATATATGAATATATATATCATATATATATCTCATATCCACACTAATTCACACCTTGGATTAAACTAGCTTGCATCGAGATATAAATCTATACATGATATGTGATATACACATCACATATGTATATCATATATAACACCTTGGGTTAAACTAGCTTGCATAGAAATATAAATCCCATTTGATAAGTAAGAAAACTGAAACTCAGAGATTGTGTCTTACCAAAGGGCACTTCACTGGTGGAGAAATAATTTGTATTTTATTCCAAAGTATGTATGCTTCTTACCATTTAGGTTGCTGTAAGAAAAAGTGAATGATTTTGCTCAAACTGTTTAATACTAAAATGTCTATACTGTGAGATAGCTTAGTACTGGCATAGGAATAGACCCAATTCAGTGGAACAGAATGTGATTCCAGAGAATGACTCAATGAATGATAGCCACTGTTTACTTTGATTGAAATTTGTGTATGGAAAGTTTAGTTAATAGCTGAACAATTCAGGATATTAGCATATAGGTAGCTGGTTCAGTATAATTTTTAAGTGGCTTTTAAAAGGTGGTTAAATCCTCTTATGGCTAGAAACATCAAAAGGTTAAGTACCTACAATTATCATGAAACAATTAGTTCTTCCAGGTATGGCATTTTGGAGCAAAATGTTTACATAGCTCAAGCTGTAGATTATTTTAGCAATTCACTGTTGAAAGAGTCCTAGAATTATGATGACAATAGTACCCATTAAATTCTTTCCATTCCACTTCCCATTATTCTTGCTGGAAGTCAATGATTTTGCTGTATTCACAAATAATTTTGCTGTTGTTTTAAGAACTTCGTTGTATATGGAATTCATTTATGGAAAGTAACATATAAGACCTTTGGACCGAAAAGTAACTTTATTTTAACAAAGTAAGTTTCTTGTTACCTCCACAGGTTAGGGTTATGGGTGTCATGACTATAAAATATGTCATATGCTTACAAATCCATTCAGCTAATTCTTCATAAAATTATAATTTAAATGTAATTTAAATCTTATCCATGGTGTAAATTTCTGATTTCCTAGATAATTGATGTTTATTCCCTGATTGCGCTGTGGTAAAATATAAGGACAGCACATTTTGTGCTTTGTTCTTACAATGTCATTTAAAATGGAGGTTTTTGTAATGCAGGAAAACAAATATATGAAATCCAATCCATCCACAGCCATACCACCCTGAATCCACTCAATCTTGTCTGAAGTCCAATCCTAGTTGTTGTTAATGTTGTCAAAACTAACTCTTGTCTTCCTGAACTCCAACACAGTTGTCATTTATTCTTTTTTATTTTTAATTTATGTTTTGAAAAAATATAAAATTTACAGAAAAGTTGCAAGACTATTATAATCAGCTCATATGCTTTTCACCGAGATTAACTAATGTTTACAGCTTTGCCACATTGATTTCATACCCACTATTCTCTTATATAGCCATATTCTCTTGGATAACCCCTGTATTTTTATTACATTTGGGGAATTCAACAATGAAAAATGCAGTTGTTTAATATATAGCTTATATTCAAATTTCCCCAGTTGTCCCAATAATTTCCCTTATAGATTTTTTTTTTCTGATTCCAAAATCATGCATTACATATAGTTGTCAATCCTATTTAATCTCTTTTAATCTGGACCAGTTCTTCACTCTTTCTTCGTCTTTCAGGACACTGGTATTTTTTAAGAGAATGGATCAGTCGCTTTGCAGAGTGTTCACCAGTATGGGCTGTATTTTTAAATACTTTTTTTTCACTCAACATTTATTCACAGTGACTCATGCCATGCAATATGTAGGTTTTAGGGATGTAAATATAATGAGAGAGATGATTTCAGCCTTGAGCTCATAATCTAGTTAGACAGACTCAAATGAATCACTAACTTAAAATGATAAGTACAATAACGTATACCTACAGAGGGTTCAACTAAGCTGTCTGGGGCAGTTGTGGGAAAAGAAAAGGGTGATAACATTTGGAAAACTTTGTTTTCTTTTTCTGATAAGACTCCTGAAATAATGTTCTTGAAATTCTTATGCATTGCATGTATTACCACACTAGCCTATAGGCTTTTATTTCATAACATTGAGGGAGTGAATATTATCATTCTTTTATTTATATTTTACGTTTTACAACTTAAATTGGTAACCTTTTTTATTTTTACATGCTAGACCTGGCAGCCTATCTCTGGGAACTGACTCGGTCAAAGACTGGGGGTGAACGTGGAGATGGTCCTAATGTCAAGGGAGAATTTCTGCCAAATCTCGAGCCTGTTAAAATACCAGAAGCAGGTAAGTTATTCATTAAAAATGCAAATTATGGGGTTTCTGTTTTCAAAAATACTATACATTTTATAATACAGAGGTACCACTACTGCTAATATAATTTAACAGAGTTCGTATATAAAGATTCTTTGAAAGATAGTTCAGTCCCCAAAAGCCTGACTTATAAACAAACAGAATCATAGATTCTACCACATTGGGTCAAAGTCACATTCAATTATAAAATGTGAAGGTACTTTCTTACTTTTTAGTGTAAGTTCCTAAACCAACAGCTAATAATATCAGATACTTTTATAAAGGTCTGCTTTTAATAAATACCTAATGAATTTGTAACAGATATTCATTGTATGAAACATGCTGAGGCAATTAAGTAGGCTTTAGTCCAAGCTCTAACAAAATTTCACTGACTTTGGGCAAATTCCTTATCTTCTAAACCCATATTTGCTCTTACAAAAATGGGTCAAAATCAAATATATTAAAATTTGAGTAATCAACTTAAGTATGTTTTATACATTTTTTTTCCAAACTTCTAGGCATTAATTATATGAGCTTCTGAATTTAATATAAACACTTAGTGTTTAGGGAAGAAATTATCTTGCATTAGTCTACTGCTTTTGCTCTACATTCCTGATCCATTCCATTAGAATATTTAGATTAAAAGTATTTTTCGGGCTATGTTCAGGAACCTATTGAACATATACTCATGAGAAGATCATTGCCTTAAATACATATGTTATTAAAAGATAAAAATATAAAATTATATGAGCATTCAATATAAAAAAATAAGAAACAGGCACAAAATAAACATAAGGGAAAAAATATATACTTAATAAAAGATAGGTATAAGTCATTAAGGGAAATAATTCAGCTAGTAAATAAAAGAGATTTTCAACATATCTATGAATAGAGGATCCCCTAGTTTGCATAATCTTGAAGAAAATGGACAAAGCCCAAGTATACACAATAAAAAATAGGAACAAGACAGGACAGATATTGAATGTGTAATATAATTAAAAGTGGATGCATTCTTGAGCTCTAAACAATTTTCACAATTTGATGCAATGTTTGATATGCTAGCAAAACATAAAATTATTTACTATACCACAGTAGTACTGAATATTTAAACATGATAACATGGATGAACTTTTAAAACTTGCCAGAATTTTCCATCAAAATTATTTATCATTTAAAAACAAAAAAAAAATAAGCTATTGTTTATTTGTATTTGGCTTTTCTAGATTCCTCAGTCTCTTCTCTTTCTCTCTCTCCTCCTCTCCCTCTCCTTCTGCTCCCCCTTTTGCCAAATTGTGAGAATCATTACTATTTCTTTTCAACACTTCATCTATAATGATAATGGTTTGCAACCAGTGTGACGATATAATTTATTGGACAAACTGGAATATTTTTAAATGTGCAAAGAGGCATTATTGATAATTATACTAGAACCACAGGTGAAAACAGGGACAAATGGTTAACCTACTTAAAACAACCATATAAGGAGTAAACTCATCAAAAACATTTTAGCGTTTTCCCACAACAGAAACAAAACAAATATAATACTAGCCTTTCTATTTATGTCACTTAAGCACTTTCAAATGTAGCATTACTGTTTGAGCTATCCTATATTCAAAACATTATTTCAAATTTCTTTTGTTTCCTAAGTTTTATGTTTATGTTTGGCTAGTTGGATTTTTTTTCTAAAATTACACGCAGTTTTTAGTTTCTAGTTAAAACTTTCTTTAAATAGGTTCATTTGATCAAATCATTTTGAACTCAAACTCTTTCTCATACACTAGAAAAATGAGTGGGATTTTAAAATATTGTTAATACACCTGAAAGCCTACCTTCGAAGTCTCTATAGAGGTTTAACTGGATATAAGCCAGAGGGTTACCTTGTTATAGTTCATTTCATAAAACCAAAACTATGTCTTTTTTCAACTCGTAGTGTCATCAAAAAAAGTTCTGCTAAAAAATACTCTCAACTGTTATGTTTATCTTATAGGTGAAGGGCCACCATCGGTTTAAATGAAGACAAGCTGAAACCATACATGCAGTCTTTACGTTGGAAACTTGACCATTGAAATTCTCTCAATAAAGTTTCACAATTGTCTGCAAAGAAGTCTTGTGCAGCTTATGTTAAACTAGGAATAATTAGGTGTTTCATGCTTGTTTTTTGAAAATTTATATTCTGTTTGAGCTGGTGTATAGAGATATAATTTTACGTATTGATTTTTCTCTCCAGAAACCTTGCTAAATATGCTTATTAATTCCAAAAGTTTGTCTCTAGGTCTTTTTGATTGTCAACATATACAATCATACCATCTGTGAGTAATAATACTTTTCAGTCTGCCTTTTAAAGTATTTTACTCTTTATTTCCTTAATTCATTTTATGGCATTGGACAGACCCATCCAGCACAATGTGGAATTGAACTCGTGATAGTGGACACTCTCATCTTATTCCTGATAAGAAATGGAAAATATTCAACATTTTACCATGATTTGGTGTAGATTTTATCTGTAGATGTGCTTTATCAGAAGTTCCTTCTACTTCTAGTTTCCTGATAGTATTCCTCTTGGATATATGTTGACTTTCCCCAAAGAGTTGTACTTCATCGACTGTGATTATCATAGGATTTGTTCCTCTATTAATTTATTACTGGGGTGAATACACTAAGTACATATAACTAACTTTGCATTTGTAGGGTAAACATAATTGGTTCTTGAAATGTTATCCATTTTCAATAATCTATGTCCTAATATTTTATTTAGGGTATATGTATATATATATTATGAGTGAGATTAACTTACACTGATTTCTTGTACAATCTTTGACTTTGGTATCAAGATTATGCTAGCTTTTTAATGTGAATTGGGATGTAAAACTTCTTTTTCCATTCTCTAGAAATAAAATCGCCACAAATTGTGAGTTATGAAGGGCTAGGCTTTCCTACGCTCATCTGTTTCTGTATGGCTTCTGTCTCTTACAATTTTACATTTTAGGACTTCAAAGGCAGTGACAGAAGGGGCAGCTCCAGGTTCCCATCCCTTCAAACCTTATGAGGCACATCTTCTCTGAATGCTTAGATGCCTTTAATGATACTATCACTCTGAAAGCCACCTGCTCATGTTTTTATGCTGATACTTTTCTCAAAGTATATGCTTCTGAAAGTGTTGTATAAGGAACTAACACTGTACATGATGACCTTAGCCAGTAATAGGATACTTTCATAAAAATTTAATCAACATGTGAATATAAAATTGTTTGACTTAAAAGACCTTGTTCTGAGTCCTCAGAAATAATACCACACATCTACAGCCATCTGATCTTTGACAAACCTGAGAGAAACAAGAAATGGGGAAAGGATTCCCTATTTAATAAAGGGTGCTGGGAAAATTGGCTAGCCATAAGTAGAAAGCTGAAACTGGATCCTTTCCTTACTCCTTATACGAAAATTAATTCAAGATGGATTAGAGACTTAAATGTTAGACCTAATACCATAAAAACCCTAGAAGAAAACCTAGGTATTACCATTCAGGACATAGGCATGGGCAAAGACTTCATGTCTAAAACACCAAAAGCAATGGCAGCAAAAGCCAAAATTGACAAATGGGATCTCATTAAACTAAAGAGCTTCTGCACAGCAAAAGAAACTACCATCAGAGTGAACAGGCAACCTACAGAATGGGAGAAAATTTTTGCAATCTACTCATCTGACAAAGGGCTAATATCCAGAACCTACAAAGAACTCAAACAAATTTACAAAAAAAAAAAACAACCCCATCAAAAAGTGGGCAAAGGATATGAACAGACATTTCTCAAAAGAAGACATTCATACAGCCAACAGACACATGAAAAAATGCTCATCATCACTGGCCATCAGAGAAATGCAAATCAAAACCACAATGAGATACCATCTCACACCAGTTAGAATGGCAATCATTAAAAAGTCAGGAAACAACAGGTGCTGGAGAGGATGTGGAGAAATAGGAACACTTTTACACTGTTGGTGGGATTGTAAACTAGTTCAACCATTATGGAAAACAGTATGGCGATTCCTCAAGGATCTAGAACTAGAGGTACCATATGACCCAGCCATCCCATTACTGGGTATATACCCAAAGGATTATAAATCATGCTGCTATAAAGACACATGCACACGTATGTTTATTGCGGCACTATTCACAATAGCAAAGACTTGGAATCAACCCAAATGTCCATCAGTGACAGACTGGATTAAGAAAATGTGGCACATATACACCATGGAATACTATGCAGCCATAAACAAGGATGAGTTTGTGTCCTTTGTAGGGACATGGATGCAGCTGGAAACCATCATTCTTAGCAAACTATCACAAGAGCCGAAAACCAAACACCGCATGTTCTCACTCATAGGTGGGAACTGAACAATGAGATCACTTGGACTCGGGAAGGGGAACATCACACACCGGGGCCTATCATGGGGAGGGGGGAGGGGGAGAGATTGCATTGGGAGTTATACCTGATGTAAATGACGAGTTGATGGGTGCTGAAGAGTTGATGGGTGCAGCACAGCAACATGGCACAAGTATACATATGTAACAAACCTGCACGTTAAAAAAAAAAATTAAATAAATAAATAAAAGACCTTGTTCTTTCCTTGAAGGAAAGTTTCTCTTTTATTCCCTTCTGTTCTTTCTCAAAGTTAATTTAGAGATTGAGAAGGAGCAGTGACAAATCTCTTTTTTCCTCTATAAAATTCTTTATTGGCCTGATATTCCCCATATCTCGCTAAGAAGCTTCCAAAGCTGCCTAATTCCAGCCTTACACCCTTATTACTGTACACAATGACAGCAGGTTGCATCTCTGAGCCCCATTCATATCCACACACATTTACAGTTATACAAGAAACCCTACCTAAAATCCACCTTGCTTAGGGAAAGACACAGGATTATAAATAGCAACTATTTCTTCTACTTGCAAGTTAAAAATATTTTCTTGATCCAAAAAGACTAATAATCTATGGTTAAAATTTAAAAATGAGAAAAATGCAGGGTATATCAATTTTCACAAAATATGTGAGAGGTTCCTAGATGCTGGAGCTAGCTGCAAAGATTAGAAGTTAGGTAGGAATGAAAGGGGTAGTTGCTGAGGCAAAATGTCTTGGGTCCTACCTACACTGTCTTTTTATAGGCTGTAGCATGAAATAGCCATGGGTTTTCATCCTGGCTGTGACACAAACTGGCTGTGTGATAGTGAGAAAGATACTTACATCCTTTGGAACTGTTTTGCATTACTAAAATATAAATTACAATATTTACATTAAAGTATTACTATGATTAATAAGTGAGATAAAGCCAGGCATGGTGGCTCATGCCTATAACCTCAGCACTTTGGAAGGCCAAGGATTGCTTGAGCCCAGGAGTTTGAGACTAGCCTGGGCAACATAGCAAGACCTCATCACTACTAAAAATAAAATAATAAAAATAAATGAGTGAGATAGCACATATGAAGTAGGCATTACAGTATAAATGGATTTGGTTCACTAGTTATAGCCCATTTTTAAATTGATTTTTTATTTCATTTACTTTTACAATTATATCTCTAGTAAGAGATACTGATTTTGAATTTCAAGTAATTACGTTATATAACCAAATGAATCTGAGCTCAGAAACTAATTTGATTTAAGTAAACATTAACTAAATAGCAGTGTAGTTGGTATCAGACATGGCATTGTATCTAAAGTTGGTTTGTAAATGACAGAGGCCTGGCAAAGGCCACCTTAGGTCATCCTATGTGCTGAAAACTGCTCCTTGCTCTATGTGATGCCATTGAAAAGAAGTCAATGTTCTGGTCATGCAACACCACACAACTCAATATCAGAGTCTGTCTGTCAAGTGGTCAAGCAGTCCCTAAGCAGCCCTGTGGTGGCTAACTAGTGCCATAAGGATCACCACTGCAATTGTTAGATTGGCTTGCTGCACATTGATAGAGTCAGCTAGTAAGAAGACAATGAGTTCAAATAGATCCAAATAGTTTACTACTTACAGACAGCACAAGCAAGATAAGCATTGTATCAGCTTTCTGTTTCCCTAGTCCCACAGTTTGACATTAAATCAGAGGTGCTCGGTAACAGTGCAGGTGGTGGGTCCTCTGCCATTGAGAAGTCCATAATCATACTTAAAGTCAGCAAACAATTTTATACCCAAAACTGTACCCTAAGGTGGGGCAACAAGGAACATCTTGTGCTCAACTACTATGAAGATGGATGAGTAATGATCTCATGTCAGCCTCCAGCAAGATAGGAGGCAAGTGAGAAAATTCCCTGTGGCAGGGTCACCAAGGCACCAAGGCTGAGCCATTCCCCTGGTGTCTGGCATAAAACAAAACACTATACGTATAGTGTTTACGAACATAACATTTCCAATACTGGTTCCACAATGGAGGGGATGCTTTCCCTGTCTGGGTCATTACAAAAGATTAATTCAATAAATATGGCTTGCCGCTGGCTATGCTTCAGGAAATTTCTGGAATGCTGGAAATGAAGAGACCAACAAAATGTGGTGCTTGCCATGGGTGATATCACATTCTCGTGGGACGACATAAATAAACACAAAAGCAGTTGAAACACAAAGAATGAACAGGGGCAAGAGATCCAGCCAAAAATAAAAATAAAAATTTTAAAAGAGACTGGGGGTGGCACACCCAAGGTGCCCGAATAGGAACAGCTCCAGCTTCCAGCTCCCAGCACGAGTGACAGAGAAGACAGGTGATTTCTGCATTTTCAACTGAGGTACCGGATTCACCTCACTGGGGAGTGCTGGACAATCAGTGCTGGTCAGCTGGTGCAGCCTGACCAGCGAGAGCTGAAGCAGGGTGAGGCATTGCCTCACCTGGGAAGCTCAAGGGGGAAGGGAATCCATTTTCCTAGCCAAGGAAAACTGAGACTCACAACACCTGGAAAATCGGGTAACTCCCACCCTAATACTGTGCTTTACCAAGGGTCTTAGCAAATGGCATACCAGGAGATTATATCCCACACCTGGCCCAGAGGGTCCCACGCCCATGGAGCCTCCCTCATTGCTAGCACAGCAGTCTGGGATCTAACTTCAAGGTGGCAGCGAGGATGGGGGAGGGGCAC